AAACAAGAGCAGCAGCCTGGGGACAGCAGGGAAAAGGAGGGGTCAGCCATGACTGCCAGCCACCTCCCTGCCCAACAGCAGGCCTAGCACAGCCCTCAGCTTCAAAGGACCATGAGGACAAAGAGCATGCTCCATGGAGAAACAATTAGTAAGACGGCTAGGGCTTGGGTTTCACCAGGAGAAGGCTGGCCTGCCCATCTGAGCCCAGGACAGGGCAGGGCAGAGAGTCTGCAGAGGCAGTGACCGCTTCCCAGGGGCACAGGAAGACCAATTCTCCTGATCCCTCCTCTCCCAACCAGCTCAGGGCTCCCTCCTCGCACTCCCCAGCCCCCAGCTTCCCAGGGAAGGGCCCTCACTCACTCTTCTTGCAGGAGGTGCATTTGCAGTCCTCGCATTTGCAGGAGCCCAGTGCAGGTGCAGGAGCCACCTGCAAGGAGAAAGACAGGCAGTGAGATGCCTGATGCAGGAGAGACCGCAGTCCCTCAACTCTGCTCCCCATACCCCTCCCCTGGGCAGGGGCCAGCCCCGGGATCTCCTGTCCCACATGGAACAGATGGGGGCCTACCCCACCCTCTCTGCCCTTCTGCTAGAGAGGGCGGTGCACTCCCTTGTGCTTACCCCCCAGGGATGGTCCCCGGCTCCAGACCCAGTTCAGTTAGGTTGCGTCTGGGGGCCAGGACCTTATGTCCTCAGCCCAGAAGACACACTGTTCCCTGCCTCCAACCCGCAGGGACAACTTAGAGTCCTGGGCCAGCAGCTCCCCTTCTCTCCCCCCCTCCCCAACACCTGGAGCAGGACAACCTCGACCCTCAGGCCTCTCCAACAGGAACCACTGGGAGGCTGCAAAGGCTCCAACTGGATGAGGGCCCTTGGCCAGGGAGAAGGCACAGAAGCTGCTCTCTCTCTAAGGCGTCTGCTTCCTCTCAAGCTCAAAATACTCCCTCCTCTCCCTCAGGGTGAGTAAGGGGCCTCTGAGGTCTAGAGCCCGGGTACCTTACCAGGGGGGCGGGAGCAGTTGGGGTCC